TTAAACGGTTTTGTCGTTACATAAGAAGACATAAACGAAGAAGAGAAATGAATAAGATGGATTCAGGAAAATGACGAAATAAAGCAAAAATTATTCCCTAAACACACAGTACCAAAATGCAACTTCTTAATTAAAAACATTTTTATTTCAATTAAAATTATTCAAAATCAGTACATAGAAGATAAATAAATCAAAGTTTACGAAAATGGTTACGAAATCTTAACCGTATAAAATACTAAACAGCCAATTACAGATGACAGAGGGAGTAAAGAATATTTTTGACAATTAATACCAACAAAAAAAAAGAAATGCAAATATTTGTTTTCAAAAAAGAATAGGGAAATTATCGAACTTGAGAGTTACTGAAAATGGCATAAGACATTTCTGATTACCATCGTTCATTGTTACCATTGTTCTTTGCGGTAAAAGATCGTTTGCTGTCTTTTTTTTTTCTGACTCGCTAATAATACAGGAATATTATATGTATATTCATATTCGACCAGAGTCGGAATTTCGACTATCAAATTTTGAATGAACATTATCAACATAGTGCTAATATCTGGTCGAATATAAACATCGCGTGAGAAAATCATTCAAAATCTTTAACCTCGGTAACTATTACTACAAAAATATTTATGTGATACAACTTATAAAAGTGTTGCATTCCTCAGCTGAGTGTGTCGCAATTCCCAGGTATCTGTCAGCAAAGACTTTTAATGTTATGAATGAACGTAATTACCACTGAAAACTTTTAGTCAAATTAAATGGAAAGATACAGGTACAATCAACGCATGTAAAAATTGAAAAGAAAGATGGGATCCCGTAGTTGAGAACGTCAGTGAATATCGTCGTTACGTTATTTCCTAAAAAACAACAGACGGAAATCACTGTCAATTTAAGCTATATGTACAGCTACTATCAATGCAATTAGTCGAAACCAATTATTCAATTAGGTGGACAAAAAAAAAAAGATAAATAATGGTAACTGGAAGTGATAGTTATTTCATGCACCATTGAGACACCTGAAGTACGTCTCGACGAATGAAAACAAATGAAATAATCACGTGACCTTTGTAAACATAACGGCTGTTGGAGCAATTTGTAAACATAATAGCAAGTTTAAAGATCATCAGATCAACTAACAATCTTCATTCATATTTTCACATGCAAGCAAAGGTACGCGGAAGTTCTATCATTCAGCTAGTCTCACATGTTAGTGGAAGTGTAATTCAGTGATAATCAAACTTCACACCCATAAGTAATAAAACTAATAAATTTTAAGCGATGTTCTCAACGCATTTTATACTGGAAAAACGATTTCAGATTCTATCATCGAATATATCAATATTTGTACTGTAAACGAAATTCTAGCTAGTCCATGCAGAGAGAGGAAGATATTTCAATTTATCTATAAGCGACATAATTTTCTCAGCTGTTGTTAGGAGCTGATATATAAAAAGTAAACAAAAAAAAAAGGAAGACCTTACATAAAGTACTCCTCTAGCCGATGATCATTGGTGTTCAAAAAAACAATGATTCGATGTTCAGTAATATCATTCTCAACCAGGCGAACATTCGCAATGATCACAAGTACTTGTTGATGATAAATACATTGCCAAATTAATAACACTATACCATTGATAGTACCTGAATATTAACAATGATTACTATACTCAGGAAATGCCCGGTTATTTCCTAAAATTCTATGGATGATGGAGAAAACAACATACCGGGTCCGGCCAAGCATACTAGTTTCCCACACCCTCCAATTTTTCAGCATGATGCCGGTGACTGTCAACTGCCTGAAATGATCGCCTAATGTTCAGCAAACATTTCTCTTCTCTATTCATCAACATGTTTTTTTAAATAATGCACCATATCCAAGTAGAACTTTCCTTGTTTTTGCTTTTATATTTGTTTCCTTTTTTGCTCTTGCAAAAATCATAAAATCAATCAACCAATCAATCAACAATAATTATCAAATCGTATACTTTTACCTTTCATATATTTTTTTATTTTTATTTTTATTTCTTCACATTCTTTTTTCTTTCATTTCACTTACATCTCGATGCTTTCGTATTTTGTTAAAAAGCAGTTAGTTTTGCGAGAAAAAAAAAATGCACATCACCGCAAACAAAACTCATAAACTATACTACGTCATGATCACTTTTACTCGTGATTAAATTCTTTAATTCTATATAATCTCCCATAATTCACCTGGTAAATTGAAGTATGAAATTAAATGAAAGATAAAATGATCAGCCATAATTTGCTCCTTTCATTCATGTGACAAAATATGCATTTTATTAATTCTTCTCTTTATAATCTTTCTTAGCCATTCATATCTTCATGATTATAGCATCCTTTTAGTTCATTCTAAATTCCTGCAGATAATTTATACGTTTCATTTAGCCTATATTCTCCATGACTTTCTAATTACCAACTCTTCCAACCTTCATATACTGTAAAATATTCTGGAACAACCCGTCCCGAGATTCCGACTACTCCATTATGTTGCATCATCATCGCACATCTGTTGCACGCAACAATCCGTAATGCAAAGTAATAATTTCAAGTCGTAGATCTTATATTTCCATCTCCATTTCCATTTCCATTTCCATTTCCATTTCCATTTCCATTTCCATTTCCATTTCCATTTCCATTTCCATTTCCTTGTCTATTTATTTACATATTTGTGTATTTGTTCGGTGTCTCTTTCGTAAGCACATGCAAGCAGGAAAATTAGTTCGAATTATTTTAATTGTTTCGAATTTATAAATAATTATTCATTTTTTACTGATTGAATGGATAACTGGACTGTTAATTTCTTGCCACTTTTTTTCGGGGAGGATAACATCATGTACGAGCCAAAGAACATCATTGTAACAAATTTGTTTCAGTGCACAATTGATTTTTCTTTTGTAGCATATAGGCAGCATTGAACAATAAAATTATAAAGATGGCTGGGGATGACACCGATTACAAGGTTTCTTTTCAAATATTGTCTCCTTGCTTCGATTGCTATTATTAGAAATAGCGATTAATGTATTCAAATTGTTGAGTAATTTTAGGATCAGTTGAATGAAGTTCAAGCATTAGAAAGCATATATTCCGATACACCAGAATCGTTCTCGTACACCATAGACAGCGATTCACAGATAAGAGGTTGCATAACTGTTATATTATCCAAAATTGAAAATGGTATTGCTGTCCATGCAGGTTTGAATTTCGGATTTTCCAGTTTATTTTTTCAACTTATTTTCACTTGTATATGCTGTTTGATTGCATATAGTAATTTTTTGCTAGTCGATCGAAGATGTTTGAATAATTTATTACATGAGTCATAAATGCTGTTGTAATTCGTTTCGTTAACATCTACAGTGATATTTTTTAGATGAGAAAGTTATTCATGTTTATCATCTTCCACCTTTACTATTATGTTTCACATTTCCTCAAGATTATCCATCACATTCCATGCCGTTATTTTCCCTTCGTGCAAGTTGGCTTGATTCAATTAACGTATGTTTCTTTATAAAACTTTCTTTTAGATACTTCATTTCACTTAGCTTTCTGAGCATTTTTCTTACTTGATACCCGAATTTTCAGCCCAGGATTTCTGTGAAACTGGTGACTCATGATTGACTCATGCTATTGGAATAAGTTCATTAAATTTTGATTTTCAGAGGCATCAGCTGAGGGAAATTTTAATTGATTCATGGACGAATTGTCATGGCATGCCTGTTTTATTCACATGGATTGAGCTGTTAAAAGAGGAAACCATGCGGATCATTTTATCTCAAAAGAGTATTGACTTAAACAAAATTGTTTTAGAGGAGAACGAAGCTGAAACAGTAAGTTTTTGGTTCGCCATCGTGCATATCTTTTATCACCAATATATTCCATAAGCTATCCATTTGATAAATTTTTTCAGATGAGAAAAGGATCAGCCGAACTTCTGAAAACATTTGTTGAATTTAATGAGTGGGCAACACAAAATGATTTCGAAAGCGAGTGGTATGATTGCGAGGTAATTTTTTTGAATATTTTGATTGTAAAACATTCTTTAAAATTTTTGATCTGCGATTATTTCTTGAAAACATTTTGTTCTTTTTTAGTTAGCAGCAGCAATCTGGGAGTGTAATTATGGTAAACTTATTTTTACATTCTCTGCTTATTATGTTCCAAAAAACGAAACTTCTAGCGAGTTGTGATTATTCGTTCTTTGAATTCCAAAAAAACTGACATATAGTATTTAACATGTTTTTTGCGAAATAATGTAGGGAAATTAAGTTGAAGACCGTGATTATTTGAATTTGTTAGTATTTATTTATTCGAATAATAATACTATTTTGAATTTTTCGAATTACTAGTTGGAGGCTCAGTGTATCACCAGTCTTTCAGGTATGCTTTAGCTCGAAAAGTGGTAAAGAATGTGTCAGATTTATGCCATGTGGTCATGTCTTTTGCATAGAGTGCATTTCGGACTACTACCGCCAAAAGCTGCGTGATAATCTGGTATATTTTGACATCACAGATGTTATTACTAAGTGAATTTAACCAGTACTGAATTAAACAGTTAAGCATAATTTCTTTTGTCAGCTGTCTTACGTAAATGCACATTTTGCTTAAGAATATATCTTGATCTTGCTATTTTTTATTATTATAAATAGACGAAATCTGTACTACGAATGACGTTGCTTCTACGAATTTTTTATTTTAGATTCGGCAGTTACAGTGCCTAAATGTTGGATGTGATAGCCCTGCGACTCAAACACAAATTCGGCGGGTATTATCTGATAAAGAATTCGAAGTTTATGAACAACGTTTGTTAGAAGGAGCATTAAATTTAATGTCTGATGTAGTTATATGTCCGAGAATATCGTGCCAGGCTCCTGTTATTGTTGATGGCGGTGAAAATTCCAGGTATACCATTCATTGTGATCATTTGAATAAGAATCGATATAACTTAGTTCAGCTAAGCTTGGACATTATTTTTATTGGTATTCTTTGTGCTTTACGTACCTTACTTCAGTTGAGATCTTTTGGTGTTGACTTTGTGGGGACAGTTTGATTCTTTTTTATAAGTTCAAGAAATGATTTATTGAGTACCGTGAAACATAAAGTATACCTGATAGCATCATAATTCTTCATCATAGAGATACACCGTTCGTATGCAATATTTTTCATCATTATAGAGATTATTTCACTTCAGTTTGGCAAGCTGTACATTGTGTCATTATTCCTTTTGCATGTTGTGCAAAAAAGCTTATCATGGTGTAGAAGTGTGTTCTTTAACAGAAGGTAAGCGTTAAACTGTTCAATTTTCTAGTAATTCAAATCTCTTGTAGTTATGCTGCAAATTCCTGTAATTTAATGACCAAATGAAAAGTATGTTTTTCTCTTGGATATTATTTGTCCACATTTTATACCCATTTATTATCGATTGTTTTTCATCTAACATTCAGAATCAAGGAGAAAAATACTAAGCCAAGTCGCAAGCGCTGCGCCTGCTCAGCTTGAAGAAATCTATAAAAGATGTGGTGGAAAAAAGCAGCTGGAACGTATGCTTGAAGCATTGAAAAGTGAAGAATGGATAGAATGCAACAGTAAATCTTGTCCATCATGTCAGGCCAAAATTGAAGTGATTATTTTTCTGCTAATTTTTTTCGAAAATCTTTAAAAGAAACACATTACGCACGATTCTTTCACATTCGGCGTGGGAACATCACCGTTATAAGTGAGTGCGGATGACTACAGAAAATCATTGCATATCTTTTTATACTTCCAAATCTGCTTAGACAACAAAGAATGCCATTAGACCGTACAACTTTATTATAAAGTGTATTTAACGAAACAGTTTAGCAGCTATGAGCGTAAATTAAATTCCTGCCGTATAATTCGTTCACTGCACCTACGATGGTATCAATACAGCATTATTTTCTATACGTATTGTATATTCTTGTTCTCGATATTCCATTATTTTAAATTTAACAATTTTTTTTCTCATAGAAGAACAGTGGTTGCAATAAAATGGTATGCATAAAATGCGGACATTATTTTTGTTGGCTTTGTGGTATTGCATTAAATAAGAAAGATCCATATAGCCATTTCAACGTACCTGGACTAGGGAATTGTCACAATCGTTTATTTGAAGGTATGATTTTTAAATATGATTTTAAGATTTGGAAGTATGTTTTTTGTGGAAGAGGAAATGTATACTACAGTGCACAATAAATGCAAAAAAAATGAATGTAAAGGAGGCTTTTTTTCAGGTCTTGAAAATGATGATGATATGGAAGATTAGTGATTGTTCTATTGATGATATCACTGAAGATAAGCATTAAAACAAATGCTGGTTAGAGAATAATTTCAGTTAGGTTTTTAAAATCCATTAAAACTCCTGGGGCAGCAGGCATATAGCATTTCTTCAATTAGTTTAACTATAGTTTTACAATTCATTTAATTTTATCCGTTCATTTATTTTGAAATTTAAGACCTTATAATTTTTGTTTTTGTACTACTGCGAATTGAGTATAAGATCATTTCATGGTATAATATAAACACACTAATCCGATTTCATGTTATAATATCAATTTTAAACAAGTTCTTTGAACAATCTTTTTTCCAAAATGAAAACTCTTAGGGCAAGAATTTGTCTCTATTTCATCACTTTCACTGTAATATCTTAATCAGTGTGGTCTAGAATCCGAAATGAGTGATTTGAATAAGGTATCGTTACTTTTCACGCTTTGCTCAAATAGAAAGAATTGATTTGGTTGAATGATCACTTCGTCATGTAGCTCATTAAGTTATTTGCTTAGTGATTGTGAGTTACAGTAAATTTGTTTTGTGATCATAATTAAATATTTCAAATCTATATTGTGCAAATAACCGATTAATTTAATTTATTTCGTATTCCATTTGGAATAAATTTTTATTTTTTCGTATACTTCGCCACATAATGGTTTTGTCCTGTTAAATCATGTTATAATTGAATTTCATTTCATAATATAGTTCAGTTCATCAGTTGTATGATACGATTTTGATCGACCAACAAAGATTCCTAATAAATTCAAGAAATGTTAAGTTCTAATTAAAACCATCGATAAAACCAAAATGTTCGAAAGGAGAAATTCGGAAAAATATTTTGATGATATTAATGATATATGACCCGATCTCACATCATGTGAATAATATCGTCACTTTTGTCCTTAAGATTTAGATTTTTCTCTTGTTGATATATTTGCGGGATAAAATCTGATTAAGTTTTTTTATAAACGAATTTCTTCCAATCTCTATAGTATCAAGGGAATGCTGGATCGATTGATTTTGTTGATTCATGCTTGTTAATTTAAACTATTGTAATCTAAATATTGGAAGTGATGTAAGATTTTTTTATGCCTATATCATTGTTGATTGGAACTTATGACATCATCTGCAAGTTATCATATTTTGTCCATGGGAATACTTGAAGTACTGTTGACTGGAACTTGTCATATCATTTGTAATTGTAGGAACAACCTGGTCGAAACCTAATGCCTTCATTAAATTGGAAGCACTATGCAGCCATATTCGCTTCTGTTTCCGGAATGCCAGTTTTTTGTTATTGGTACTACAGCTTGCCGCACGTAGTAGATCGATTTGTTAGTCTTTTCCCTGTTCATAGTCAAATGACATTCAGTTAACTTATAAAGAAACAAAGTGAAGTAGATTTTAGACCGAGAAATGGATGATAGAGGAACCAGAAAAAGATAACAAAGAGTTTCGCGAATTCATGGAAGAACTATCAGCAATGCATCAAAAAGCCGATTATGCAGAAATTAAGGATAAAGTTGCAGCTGAGGAGATGCGAAGACGTACATTACGCCAGTGATTGAAGTCATTTTGTAAGTTTAATTTGCAGTAAATTGGTATAGCTCATTACAGGTGATTAAAAACTGAGGCTAGAAGGATAAGTTTTTGAAAAAAATGAATAATTTTATGTGTATAAGCTCTATTAGTTATTCATAATTTGCTAATAAATGAGAAATGCTGAAATTTGAAATTGCTTGTGTGGTATACGAAGTTATGGCATCACTATGTTTCTGAACCGTTTAATTGTATGAAGATTGTCGAGTGAGAAAAGGATAAAGTCAGTTGAATTCTAGTAAAGTTATTTGAATCGCATTTATAATTTTAATATTATGGTGTGTGAGTTGTATACAGCTTCAAAAATTTTGTTTTGCTTTCGGTATTGCAAAAAATAGTTTCGCACCAAGCTTCGGGCTTATCTCTGCTATATTTAGTTACCATCTATTTTGATATTTTTATTCTCGAGAAATAAAAGTAAAAAAATTAATTTGATTTGCAGGAATCCACTTTTCCAGTCATTTTGTTCAGCTTCGTCATTGTAGCTTATGTATTTCAGTACTGAAATTGGGACACCATTTTCATCTGCGAATCTGCTGTGCTGCCTTGAAACGATTGGTTTATCGCTGAAACTTTTTTCATATGTTCTGAATAGATTTTTTTTGTATGATTGCTTTAAGATGAAAGAGAAGTCAAATTAGACTAACATTACACAGAAAAATGAATGTTCCAACTGCTTTTCAGCTATTGCACTGTTTAAGATTTATCTAATATCATTGATATTAAGATTTATCTAAATATCATTGATACTACAAGTATTATACTAAGATTATAATTAACAAAGCTCGAATCCTCAAAAAATATACCATTAAGTATGAAATTAAATCCAGTTATAGTTTTTGGGCTAGACGAAAAAAAGAATTTTAAATCTCGATAAACAAGATTCGTTTCATAGAGAAATCCGAATTCGTCACGTTATCATAATTTTATCATTAATGTTTACGCGAAGATAGGAAAGAAATGAGACGCATGAGGTAATAATTCATATGTCATTTATGATCATCAACTTGTGACAAGTTGTTAAAGCATTAAGCATATTTATGTATTATACTTGCATAATTTTGCTCTATCAACTCATCATCAGGTAAGAATCTCAGAATCGAATTCATTAAAATCGAAATGTTCAAGTTTGTCTCATAATTTCGAATTTATCTAATTTATTATGCGATGTCTTCATTGTAACTTTCATCTACAGTTTAATAGCAGATATTATTTTATTGGTATAAATTGATATTTGTTACACACTACACTTACATATATGAGCAATCAAATCAACAGGCAGATATATTTTAAGAAGTCTTTCGAAAATCTGGGAACTAATGGAAATATTACATGATTACAGTTAAAAAGTAGACTAGCTTTATCACAACAGGAATACAAACTTTATGATTGTAGTCATTTTATAGACAGAGCTGGACTTCATCTTTGCAGTGTGCTATAACGATTTATTTACAATGTATTATAGAAAATGTTCAGTTTCTTCCTGTACGTTCTAATGTACCAATTTTTAACATATATGCGGGTTTGTAACCAACAACTGAACCATCATCAGCAATAATTTTCAATGCATCATTCTTACGAGTCGTGTCACGCCCTCCAAGAGATGTGTAGCCTAAATCATACAAAGGACAATATGGTATGCAGATACCACGTAACGCTCGCCACACGTCATCATAGCTCCAATCCAAAATTGGACAAACTCTGCAAGCAATTTTCTCATTTTTAAAATGATTATTGTTAAAAGTCACTACAAGTTTGAGTAACTTCTATATTGTTAATAAGTCCTTCATCTAATTCTTGTTCTATTTTGAATAGAATTATTTAGTACCTAAATTGCAATTGCAAAACGAAAATATTCCATTTCCAAGAGTATGTATATGTTCAAAAGCTGCTACGATAAACCGAAAACACTAACCTCAAGTAACGTGGCCAGTCAGCATCTGTGAATTGACATTTGGATTTCATTGACGATACACTGGGATCAGTAGCTCGGCTACCCATAAATATGCATTTTAATTTCGGTCTCATATCTCTCAATTGTACGAGACCTTCTCTTATCGGACCTGATGTTTCCAGTACTATAATGTTGTATCTGGAATTTTGCAATTCGACATTATTTTATCCTTTATGAATTACTCATAGAACTGTCATTCAGCGATAGTTCCCAGGCTCTAATCTTGAAAAAGTACTATAAAACAAACAGCCATTGTACTTCAGATCACATGTTTGTAGCTTCTTCAAAAGGTACCGATTATATCGATAAAAAATAACAAACCGTTTAGTGGTGTCAATGATGAATTGATTCATTTCCGGAAAGCTATCACCACACACTATATGAAAGCCTAGTATGGTCTGTCCTGGTCCATATTTCCTGCAATTCATATCAGTTTCCTTATAAGTGCAATAATTACCAAACCTATCAGTAATTCTGCGTCATCCGAAACCGAGTATGGCTTCAGATCAGGAATGTGTGCAAAATGTGCACTTTTTTTTCAGCAAAAAGACATTACCCTCAAAGCATTCTGTGTCATTCGTAGCTTAGAAGACTATTTATTGATAAGCACAATAAAAATTCTGAACTGGTAAAAATTCCTATTAAAAGGACTTACTCGTCGATAGCAGTACGTAAAAGATGTAGGACGAGAGTGCAATCTTTACCACCATTGAACGATACAGCTATCTCATCCAAACTATAAACAGTTACATGTTCTTCTATGATGGTATATTTTAATAGAAATTTTCGCTTTTCTCCACAAATCCGCATTACTTAATTTCTAAGTTAAACTTTTAAAGAGATGCAGGGCAGTTCTGCTTACAGATGTTCCTGCAAAAGGTTCTATGTTTGAAATCTCACCGACAGAATTCACTAACAGATTAAGAGAAATTATTGTGTTGATACAACTCATGGCATCATCCAATCGACCTATAAAACCATCATCTGAGCCACAGGCTAATTCCCTTTCTCGAAAAGCATTGAGCTTTTGCATTGTATTTACCCATGGGTGTTCATCAAAATATATCACCTGATCTAAATAAATGACATTACGGAACTGGAAAAGGATTAAAAATGTTTCGCTCAAAAACTTTTTTTGCATGTCAACTCCTATTGAATAGTAACATAACAACAATCAACAATCAACCAATCCATGAAAAATAGCTGACCTTTCAAAGAAGTTTTCAAATCCTGTACAACTTTCTTGCCCACATCTTCCCATTCACTTTCGATTAATAATTTCGTCTTATAATATCTGAAATTACGAAACAATGCAAAAGTAAAAGGAAATGATATAAGTTATGCAATATCAAATCAATACTTTGACCCTTTAGATACTAGAGCTGTTACCTACTGCACAATTCTATAAAACTTTACTGAAACTTCTAGCCTGTTGAAGAATATTCCTAATATCAGTGTTGAGAAATAAGCTAAATTATTAGTGACAAGATAGCATGCCCTCTCAACAGGAATATCAATCATAGACTTACCCGTTGTTTCTTACCGGATATGAACCAATAGAAACTTTCTTTGAACCATATTTCTTTGCCACCTCCATTATTACATCCGAAAATTGTAATTCCATAGTCTTCAAATGAAGAATGGATGAGTAAAACGGCTTCGCTGCATGAGATGGAAATATCGACTTCTGCAAAACATATATTAATCACATGATAGGCTAACCTTCCAAACCATTCTAACTCTATAAGTTATAAAAGTCATGGGTAATATGTAAGCAGGTAATATGGAATGGGTATTGCAGAATACTGCATCACTTTTCGAAGATACTTCAACCACAAGAAATCTTTCGAGTTTTCGCTTCTCTCCCTCATATTTCTTCTGCTAAGCTGAGTGTACATCAAAAGATTTGAAAGAAGTTAGCTTTTCTTCTAAATAATACGAATGTCGATAGGATCATTAGTATTACGATGAAAAAAAAAACAATAATCCTTCTATCTTTTAAGCTTAACTAACGGCACTATGAGCGTAAATCTGAAATGAACAAGAAATAAATTAAACGTGAAAAAAAAGTTTAACTTTTTTTAAAAACTTTTTTGATAAAGTTTAAATAGTTTAACTTTTTCTTTCGAAAAAAAGTTTAAATAGGAATAGGAGAAAAACATAAGTAGTAATGTCTTGATAAATTAAATAATATAATCATGTTTTTAAATCACATAAATAAATAAAAAGATTTAAATGAATTTGAAGTTAAGATATTCAATATGATAAATTTCAAAAAAAGTATCGGAATTTGACAAAGAAATATGCCAGCTAGAAGATACAAAAAATCGATGTCATACATACGAAAACTTCACATTCTTTTTATTTCTATGTGATTCATTTCAACTGCATTTTCGTCTTTCTTTCTTGTTTTTTGGTAAAAATAAAATAGCTTCCTTCTGTTTAATGCAAGTCTCTTCTTTAATTTATTTTTTTTGATTATTTTCCCAATATCTATAGCACAGTCATTACTCTGACAATGATCAAAATGTAGAACTTTTACATCACTGAACTTAGTCTGGTCAATGTAACTTCAACCCTACTAAGCTGAGTTGTTAATTTTTTATTGAAGTTCTTTATAATATTGATCTGCAGTAAAAATCTATTGCACACTCCAACAGAAAACATAGGCTAGGCATTTTTATGCAAAATACAAATATTTGCACGGTTGTTTATGATTGTTCACCACCAAAAACATTTAAAGAATTTCGACTTTAGCTTACTTCATATTCCTTAAATGCTTGAGTACAAAACTCCGGGATACCGGGAAATGCGTAAATATTTCGCATCTGTACCAATGGAAAAACTGTTCGTTTACTCCACAACAACCGCGCACTTTTTGGTATCTGTTATGAATCTCATATTAATTACACTTAATCAGTGATATCAATATTTTCACTAAAAGTAGAGACCAATTAATGGAAGTTTAGCTCTACTGAGCGTTAAAATTATTCTTTATGATGAAATTTTAGCCTATAGATAAATCGAAAGCAACAATTCTGACTATGAAATTGACTACGAATCTGATTATAAAATTTCGTCCACAAATAATCTTTATTCGAAAAAAAATCCTCAATTAACAAATAGAACTTACAGTACACATTCGCTGTAAACCACCATCAGGCAAGATTTTGTTCATACTGCGCATAAAACGTTCAATCAATTCCATCATTTCCTCTCTTATCGTCAATTCATCATTAAATGCAACCGCCAATCCTGAAATAAAAACTTCCTTTACTAAACATATTCACCCAAAAATTTCATTTTTTCAATACTGCATCTTTATTTCATCAATATATTCACTATCGACGTACAATGCATTTCAGAATATAATAACGTCTCCAGACACAAATCACGAACGCTTCAGGATGTTGCAAAATCAAATCAAATAAATGGTTTGTCAGTGAATAAGCATAAAAAAAAATTCTAGCCAAACTAAATAAATTTGAACAGGGATATACCGTTATAAGTGCGATCATCGTGCGTAGGTCCTACACCACCAGAACTGAAGACAAAATCGTAACGTTCACTAAACTGTTTCACCTCACATGCAATATCATCTATATTATCAGATACTATTGATATCTGTAATAGAACATTATCCTCTCCGTAGTAAAGTGAATATTTTGAAAAAATTAATTGAAAAATTTAAGGCAAAATATACAGATCTTAATTGCTTATTTTTTCCCAAAATTTTATTTTTCTGGAACTGAGACAGAAATTTTAATTTTATTGAAGTTATTAGCAGTGATATTCATACCAAAGGAAACTGCCTACATCTATAAAACCAAAGAGTATTGTAAGAATTTTACATGAACCATTAATAAACAGTACTTATTTTAAAAAATCATCTGTTTGAAATTATTAAATGCTATTTAATATAACAACTTATGGAGATCAGAAATTACTTATTAAGATTATTAAGATTACTTATTAAGATCTTTACTTATTAAGATAATGTGCGTATAAATAAATATGTGATAGAGATATGTGTAAATGAATTAATAAACGAAAGCATGATGGAAAACTAAACTAAACGAAGCTAGAAAAAAACTGATGAAGAAATAGGTAAGCATGAATAATAAAATGAAAGCATAATCTATTTTACAAGTGAATAAGCGATAATCGTTCATCCTCATAAAATCAAAGGAAATGCTCTGATTTGCTTGATTTCTATTTTAAAATCAATTTCCTAAACTCAATGCACTGAGTTTTATTTAGGGCAATGAAAACCTGTTACAGTGCACCACTATTACCATACTTTTTTCAGCAGAATTCCTCGAACATACAACTCTTTGCAGAAAAAATTCGAATTCACATCACTCGTTACACCTTTCAAAATTTCATCACCAATTACTGAAATGTACTATGTAAATGAACTGCACATCATATTCATCGGGTAAGAAAATGGAGACATCATACTCAACATCTTAAAGAAAGAGTATGTAATATGTTCAAGTTTTGTAAAATTCATTTTCAGTAACTAATAATGGATGGATGAATAAAGTGAAATAAGAAACTGAAGAATGACTGTTAACCCATATGATGCTCAAAATTAATTACAGGAGAAACAATTGATTCATCACATGTAATGAATAAATCCAGAAATGCAAATTTTACATTTTTTTTTTTACAAAAGAAATGCAAATTTTTTACACTTTCTCCAACATATTACTCATCTCTTTCTAATCTCTTGTGTTACAATTCTCCTTTAATAGTAACTAAGTCTTCATTTTATTATTTTGAAAATAGCAATTCCATAAATCACAAAATTTATGAAGCAATCTTTTCTCCTCCTAGCTGTTCTGTCTGTTGAAAGAAAAATATTTTTTGAAATTTTTAAAATATTTGTTCTAATGGCTACATTCTTTTTTAAAAAATATTCCTTTTAGTAGAAAAAATCTGATTCATTCCTACATAATTTTAAAACAGTAACTTTCAAACGGAATTAATCCAAAAATGAACGTTCATTTCATTGTAATAAATTTTGGAAATTAAAAGAATAGAATAGCAAAATACTTATAATGCTTACTGATAATGCCTGCTGTTTTACGTTGTGTATTAGTGATTGCATTCAGTGAATATTCACTATCCACTTCTCTTTGACTACTATAACGACATCGATTATCTACTAAACAGGATAATGAGTTGCTCATAATTAGTCGTTTAATTCGACACCACATCATATAAAGCAGCAACACTAAAACTAGACAATTCTCAAGTGTAATTAATAGGTAACACTACTGCATCTTTATATGATCATACTATTTATTTATGACTAATTATTAATGATTAATCAATTTTATGAGTCATTAATACTATTGTAGTCTAAACTGATGATTCAATTGTATCAAATGATCAAGTTGAAAACACAGAATCGAATAAATTATTGGAAAACAATTCAATAACACTGTGTTACTATTCTAATATCAACATTGCCGAAACATCAAATTACGTTAAAAGTTAAATCATTCCATCCACTTTATTTTTCTGTATGTGGTGAAACAATGCACTCAAATAATTTTTTTGATACATTACGGTAACGCTTACCACATTACGGTAACGAATCAAGTTTATCCATTCATTGACTTATTAGAAGTGTTTTGTCGCAAAACTTTTACGCTGATAGTATTACCGTTATTATAGCACAAGCAACCTCTTTTTTAAGTAATAATTGTTTTAACATCAAATCCATCTATCGAGACATTCTAAAGGAAAAAATTAATTCCCATTTCAAAACGTCGCTCGATGGAATAACTAACTTTACCCTTTCCACATGCCTAAATGATATATATTAGTCTAACTAACCACGATTCAGGAAAAGAACTATGAAGATAGACGCAAGGAATATTCCCTCAGGTTCTCATCACTATCTTTTCATTAGGATATCAGTTACAATTGCAGAATTCTCTCGTCTATAAACATATACACGACACAATCATACTCCTCAATAATAGTAAAAATACAACTAATTAGGAGGACAGAATTTTCGAACGGAATTGTTATTTCCCAAAAATAGTAGATAATAAAAAAACTTTCCCATTTTCATATGGTTTAACGACATATTCCTCATTTGCTGAAAAATTTTATCGAAACAAATGAATGACACAACAAAATATACAACAATATGCAGAAAATAAATGATACAGGCCGCTGCTATATCCGATTCTTCAATTGTTCAAAATTTAGTATTGTCCCTAAATGATGTGCAAGCATGAGAAAACGAAAATCAGAACAGTGCAAGGAATTATTACTTTTAAGCAGTTCTTTCCACCGTCAGGTAGATAACTCTAAATTTATAAAAAAGAATATTAAAAAAAGAACGATTGTTTTTCTTTTTTCAAGAGAATTAAATTTCGCTAATAATTGAAGCGTAATAGTAGACATCCCGTATAACACTAAAAATATTCGAGATCTAGCATAGTATTTTCTTTGGCATATGAAATTTAACAATTTCCGGAGAAGAAAATAAAAAAAATGAAAACAGAACAATGAAAAGAAATATAAAATGGACATCGACATGACTATGAAAATAACTCATAACTGATAAACTCATCATTATTATTTCATCGACTATGTGGTCGATAATCTGAATCCGATGAATCTGTATCACCTAAGTAAACAATTCGTAAACGTTTACGACGCCGAGGTCCTGAAACTGGTTCTCGACTTCCACTCGGCCCACTGCCATCTGGCAAACCATGTCCTAAATAAAATTTGGATAATAAACAGAAAAATAATTAGAAACATTTCCAACTAGTCTAGCAATCTACACATCGTTTTAGTATCGCTTATTCAATACGCTACGTGCAATACTCAAAAAAAAAAATTATTCTAGGATCTAGTTATTGCAAAAAAGACATTCTCAAAGGATAGTGTAATTATTTTGAAAAAATAACATATAAACAATGTTCAAATCGAATTAAAAAAATAACTACATAAAATATATCTTTTTATTTTCTAACTATATGTTGAGAGAGATTATCCTAAGCATTTACTTCTATCAAATGTTCGGCTGCTACTTGATGTTGTTAAACTGATATTTTCTTCTCGAGCACGAAGCCGTGTTTGCCGTCTGCTAAGGACGCTTGAATTATACTTTATATCATACAGTTCGAGCTAAATGATAAAAAATTAGTATATCTCCAATGATTAGATTTTGAAATTATGGAAGCATAATAATTCAACCTATTACGCTGCAAATTTGTAATTATTCCGGTGAAAAAATCAAAAAAGAAAATATAAAACGCACTTCATTACGTTTCTGTTTCTCCCATTCAATAACTCCTATTTCCTGCAAACGCTGAACTTCAAGGTATGATTTTCGAGGCCCTCGCTGGTTAAAGCACATCAATACACCAGACATATCAAAATGTAAGATAGTATTCTGAACAATATTGAATTATATTATCATTTAAAAAATTTTAAAATTACAATGGTCCCGAAAGAAACAATATTTCTATCAATCGAAATTGGCGGTTTTGACTGCCATTGCATTTAATCAATTCTAGGTCTGTAAGAGATGAAAACGTAACTTTCAGATAAACAAACTTAACCTCTTTGATCGGTTCACGCATCATAGCAATTTTCAAAATAGTACCAGTAACATCATCCAATAAAAAGATTACAGTGCACATATCAACCTCATCCAGGTATATATTGCGGCGAGACATTGCATCGAACGGTCTTCAAAGAAACTTTCTGTTGTTTTTCACATGGTACTTTACTCAAAAACATTGTTTTAGTCAACAATGTTAAGATCACTACTGACTACATCAAAAATAATACTGAGAAAGTCCTCACACTATTTCATATGCCTTCAACATTTGTCTTTTGTGATAATAACCGAGTAAGGATAAAACTGTATTTCTGAGGATAACGATTAAGAAAAGGAACTCGAAAAACAAACCGGCTTGGATCATCAAAAACTGGCGAATGAAGGTCACATTCCGCAATAATAGCAATAATTTGGCTTTCAATATCGACATCTACTCCTTTGATGACCTCAATCATACTAACATAAGCTGTAGGAAGGAAAAGGATATAGACTTTTATAACTAATAATGCTTAGCGCATGGAATAAACAGAAAAATGACTGCATAATTCTTTAATAGTACTATAAAGTTTTATTCGACAATGATACAGCCATGAATCCATTACTTAAATTAAAATCTTAAAATCCGTCTAATAATATAAGTATGTATTTTTGACGGAAAGATCAAAATGAGAGCATGCACGGTATTATTATTTTCAGGATGTTGATACTGAGAAGAATCAGACAAACATACCAGTCGAAAGTCTTGCTCGAAATCTGATGTTGGCTTAATATGCCGCCCAAAACTTGATTTAATTTTTACGCTGCTGAAAATAAGCAATTTTATAAACAGAACTAATCATTACAGAGACAAAATTTATTACTGCATCAACATGAGCGTCCGAATACAATTTCCATCATATACATTTATGTTCGTATAATTCCAGATTAAAAAAGAGCGGGGAGATTGGCGCATAACTCGTGGAAATGATGCAGCACTACCAATGCAGATTTATTAACTACCTTTCACTATACACAATTCTCATCAATGCCATTCAACGCATATCTACTACAGAAAGTAAACTGTAACCTTTCAAGCTTCTCATGAAAAAAGCTATCCTTCACCCATAAATTGGTTCGCCATACTTCTTGAAATGACATTTTATCATCAATAGATCTGTAAAAAAAGAAGAGATAGAACAAATAATAATAGATGATTCTAGTAATCCTTAAAAAGTCAACCAATGACAGCACGTCCCTGCTGCGCATATATATATATATATATATAATTTTTGGGAAACAATAAATACCGTTGCATCTTATATGATACAATTGCTGGTCCATCAAAACGAAGCAATCGTCCCGACTCATCTGAATGAAACATTAAACTGGCTCCTTCTACTTGAAGTGATGTATTCTTCGATGGCTGAAGCGGAAATGGTAATGAGGCCTGTAATTATGCTTATTTAGTATACAAAAAAAAGCTAAAATCTCACTATATTAGAAAGTTGAAAAACTTGAATATTACATATCTTTTCAAAAGTAAGATGAAATTCTGTTCTTTTTCCTGACACGACTTCTTTTCTAAAAAAACCATATTTTTATATATTCTCCGTTGTACCATTTCTTCCAAAAGTGTTGATAGTCGGAGAAGTTAATTCAATAATAAACTGACCGGTTCTGTCATTTTTGCAGCATCAACCAACATGTACGATTTTTTAGACGAATATGAAATGCCCAACAAGTGATATGGTACACCACTATACTCTAGTGTTGACCAGTTACCTATAATGTTCATACAAAAGAGTATGATCTAACGACCAAAAGACAAACTTTATTCATTCGCTTACACAAATGACTGAAGTCAGCAACATTTTGTTCAAAATCTTGTTTTAAAATTTAAAGACGATTACCTGCAACTCTTGCACATTTGACCGGTTCAGATATAATTAAAGTAGGTATAGGCAAAACTATTTTTCTATCAAATCGTAATTCAGAGTCATACAATCCCTCTTCAGTCTGAAAATAATCTTTCTCACTACGGCGAATCCCAGTTATAAACCATTCAATTTCTAAAGGCAAATTAAAATAATGCAAAATTTCATGCATAAAAATACTCACATGATTTTGAAAATCGATCAAATTATACAGCACCGTTTCATAAGGCTTTTTTTTGAAAACAATTACCATATCAGATATTACGCTTACATTTGTAACATTTCCAAAAACCTTAAAGAAAAGAAGCATATTAGTTGTATCAAAAATCCAAGTAATTCCTTAACTTAGTAGTAGTAAGAAGTAAAAAATACAGCAAACTGTGAGGAAAATGAAACCGTGGAATTTAGGTAATAGCAGATATATGGTGATAGCAATCTAAGCATTGTCTTTAATCCATTCGTTAGTCAGGATCAAAGGAAAACAATACCCATGATTAAAATAATCGCAAGAATTTAAATTTTCTATTGACATTCGCCGAGCAAAAAAATCTTTTTACCTCTTTAGTGATGCGAAACATGCCTTTGAATTTAAGCGGATAAACATCAAAAATGCCGATAACACAATCTGTTCCACTGGTACTGCTGCCTCGTACACTATTCTGAATCAACAAGCTATATCAAATAGTTTGTTTTACCGTATAACACTCAAGCTTTCATAATTGCTGATGAATCTGATACCTGCGGCAACATGTGTCCAAATAAGCAAAATGTTCGACCGAGTTCATTGGGTGCTAAGCAACTATAAAATTTATATATTTAAGATAAAGCAAATAATAATCTTAAACTCTTTCTTATTTATATTACTTAAATGGCGTTTAGTATTCCATGAGTATTCATCTTTATAATTTGACAAAATCGCAGAATGATCTAAATAAAAAATTTCAAAAAAAAAACTAATGACAATAAAACAATCTAATGGGTTTGTACATCTACGTATTTCAGCAAATGCGTACATCTATGGATAATCATACATGTGTATGTGTATATTCAGTGAACATCTGAATGCATGCAGTATAAACTTAAATCATATAAATAAAACATATGCTTGCATATATAAACATATGTGCAGAGATATGCTGTTCACACTAGCGTTTGATCAGTACATACAAAAAAGTAATTTCTCTAGAGCAAAAAACAGAAAAGAAATAAACCTGAATTTACAGGAGTCTGATGGCAGTATAAATTCAGCCTCTACTGACTGACGTAGGGGATCAATGCATAGCAAACGATTTTGTGTTAAAATTAGCACCCAGAACGGCGAAGAGTTCGATGTTCCTTCCTGCAATATAAATTACATTAAGAAGGAATAAATATGGAGATTGATGAATAAAAATGGTGTGTAATGAAAATGTTTTGCGGGTTCGAGATTACGACCTTATGAGAAAAAATATCCAAAAATCTCCAGAACTGCTTATCATATTTTAGTATGATAAGTATTGCTAAATCCAAACGGATCTTTTCAGACTAACGTAACATATTGCTTGAAAAATAAAGGAATTACAGATAAACGTATTATAAATGCAGACCTGCAAGTCAACAACAAGTTCAACCCAAAGTGTCGACATAATTTTCTCTGTTTCATCTAACATATCCAATCGGCATAATGGCTCCAAAATATCAATATTGTAGATTTTGCGTGCTTTATGTGCAACCATTAATCCTCTGCTTTGATGAAGATATAAATTAAAAGATCATGTATTAATAAGTCATTCAAAAGCGGAAACGAGTTTCATTTCTCAACTACCCTTCCTTTTTTATTATTAATAGTAGAAACGTTTTCATTGTAATTCTTTACTGACAACTGCTCTCAACTTATTTTTCTTGCTAAGATACTTTCAAGAATCATCATAAGAACTCACCCGTCGACATTAAGAAAACCTTTTGCATCGTGTTTTTTACATAAGGCATATCTCCGATTATCCTGCAAAATAAAATCAAAATAAACACTAGCCAGGAATCGATCAAATAAACCAAAATCACTCGGCCTGGAAAAAAAAATTAAAAGAAATTCCAGCATATAAAACAGAATTGTTATTCGATGAGATTACAAGCCTTTTTGAAATTGAGCGCCACGAACAGTAAACTGCCTCTCATAAAACGACTATATCTGTACAAAATAATTGCTGTCCACAGCTAAACACACTAAATTAAAACTAGTCTTATCAGATCCTATAATTATCAAATTTTATGCCACCGACAGTTCGGAAGGAAAAACGATATGAAGCATACCGACATAATAAGTGAACGTAAAGCATTTCTACCAAAACTGCATTGAGTTCGTTGAAGTCCTAATTCACGTCGAATGATTAACCGCGCGACTGAGGGATGTTTCAATATTTCTGCAGCATTCTTTTCACTTTCAATATCCAAACATGACAATAATCGACGTGATAGCTTAAATATTGCTGTTGTTCAGTGCTTAGTAATATCACTCACATTGTTCACTGTTTAGTAATATTACTCAGGAAGTTTCGCTTAAAAATGAATAATCGATAAGACGGAAAAGGGAAAAAAATAGAATCTGAGAATTTTTTTCCAATCATTCTATTTGAGTTGCTTACTGAGGATATTTCAATATATTTCTGCTGCATTCCTCTCACTTTCAATATCCAAACATGATAATAATAATCGACGGGATAGTTTCAATATTGCTTAGCAATATCAAACAAATATAAGGAAACAAAAATGACAAAAATTAAGTTCAAAACCAGATATTTCAGATTTTTCGATTTATAATTTCCTTCTTTTTAATAGCAGAAACTATATTTCAACATAGTATGAATGGAAGGAACGCCACTTACCTCATTGTAACCATCATCATCAATCGGTCGATGCGTGTTCCTCGATTCCGAATTCATTAGACGATTTAGCAACCGGTTTCCAAGCGACGATGGCCCCATAACTTCAACAAATAATTTTCCCACTCCTTTTTTATTCCTTCAAACAAACAAATATTTGATGTCCCAATTTTAAGTTTCATTTAAAATGCAAATATATCAAATTCCCAAATTTCAATTGTAGCTTAAGCGAGTTAACTTTTCCATCTTTCTCTGCCCTATACACCTATGCAAAATCTCGCAACTCCGATCCCGCCACCCACGCACCTTTTCCACTTTCCCCTCCTCCCGCCTTTCCGTGTCCACGTAAAGAGGACGCGGTCCCGCGGCACGTAGAATGAAATAAATGGATCTCAAGAGTACACCGTGCTATCTTGGTGGATGGAGCGGAAGAGCTGAAAGCTGAAATAGTCGTATGCAGCTACTGATCAGCAGTGGGGATATTTCCGGTTCGATAAAGGGTGATTCCAGTTCAACAAACGATATTTTCTACACTGTGACAACCTGAAAACAATGTTTTATCATTTTTTTGTCACTCGAATAAATAACTAGTCGCAATTTTGAAAAATTGCTCTCTTTTTCATTTGTCTTTCTGAAGGAAAAAAGATTGTAATTAAATTAATATTTGAGGTTACTCAAATTTAAAATTTGTTTTTGAATTACTTTACTCATCAAAAATTGCAATAAATGAAACCATTAAAGTGTTTATCAGTAATATCTTTCCATGGTTTTTACGCTCTCAAAATGCAATTAACGGTTAATTTTAAATGGAAAGAAGCATAAGCAAGTAATACGATATTTTCCTTCTGTATTTTCTTGCATAACAATTATTTTCATCACTTTCATTATAACATTCTGACGTACGTCTTTTCATAGTTTACCAGTGAATCATCGTTTACTTGTTTGAAAATTGTGATTTAATTTAACTTATTTTCATTGATTGTGATAGTGAATTAATTACAATTATAATAAAAATATGTGTGCCTTTTTTAGCAATTATATATGTATATGATTGATAAGAAGAGTAAAAGTATTTGAGTATATGAATGTAAGTAACGTTAAGCATATCTTACAACAATGCTATTGAAGAATCACTTTTTTCAAGGATTGGTAATTCGATGAATAAACGAAATGGAATAGCTCGTGATACTGTTTGTAATTTTGTAAAAATAATTGATAATACTAATTATGACTGTAAGAAATGTTTTGAAAAATGTCTTAATAATATTCAGATTATTTCACGTATAACGTGATACTATTGAAACTCTTTAGCGTGTGACATGAATTTTTTTTCCAAAATCGTTTAACATCTTATAACATTCCTTAGACATTCTTCTTCCATTTGAAAATTTAATGAAAGATCACTGAGGAGGAATAACTACTCGATGATGAGCAAAGCTTTACTGAGCAAAATTTTTTCATTAATCTTTAAATGTCGCAAAATTACTCCAATGTATGGCAAAATCAGTTTGCTAATTTTAAATCTTGTTTTAATTAATTTTCACACGATAAATAACATTTCTAGAGAATTTAAAAAGCATCGGAAAATGACAAATGCTCTCTCAAATTATTTATTAAATGCTTGGAGCTGAATTATCGATCTATCTGTGCTTAATTAATAGAGAGATTAATTGGGAACAAAAGTTTTTTTTCCGATATTTTCGCCATATTTTTATTAGAAAAAGGATGAATTTCTCTTCCAGGATAGAATGCTTGTGATCATCGTATGATAGCATTAAGAAAAGAATAACTGAGGTGGTATGATAAAGGTGACATGATAAATGATATATATCATTTGTCATATCACCTCCTTATGTACTATTCATTTTTATCTTTGCTATATTAGCAATGATGGCAGTTTTCATTCATTTATTATTTGATAAAAAAAATTTCAACATTCAGTAGAAAAAACTATTTACTTATTATGTCATTTAACTCTTCAATATTTAATGAAATAAAAAAAACTTAAATAACAAATAATAAAAGGTGAAAATGTTTTTTTTTTACTTGATGATATAGTATTGTAAACCATTCTTGAGAAAATTATTTGAAATTTTAACGGTCTGTTAAAAATACCAAAATTTGGAAAAAAAGTAAAAAAAGGAAAAGATTAACTTTTTAATACTTCCTTAATTAGGATTCAAAAAGTATTAAAAGATTAGTTTAATGCGTAGAATAAATTTACAGATTAAGAATGAAATTTGAATAAATAAATAATCCAAATTGCATATTTTGATTAATAACTCCAGCAATTATTGTTTGTTTTTATCATTCCCTGTTTCAGTCATTGCTGCCATCTGCAATTATTTGTTTATTTATTTTTTGTTGATGCAAATAATAAATTTTCACTTAATAAATATAATTTCAAGTATACTTCTAATACGATTAAAAATAATTGAATTGCAAATAAAAGTTTGAAATCATTGGATGCAATAGATTATTGTTCAGAAAAAAAAGACTAAAACAAAAAAAGTGAATTACAAAAAAAGTAGAATGATAAATGGGTTCAAAATTATAATTAAAAATTTTAATTGGAAAAAAAAGAACAAAAATGAATACAGCTCTTTCCGAATTATTTAATATAGCAACTTTTTCCAATTATAATTTTTAATTATAGTTTTGAACTCATTTATTTTTTTACTTTTTTTACAATTCACTTTTTATTCCATTTTTTATTTGAATTTTAGTTTATTATTAAGACCTAATATCTCTCTTACTTGTTTTAGTTTTTTTTTTCTGAGAAATAATCTATTGCATCCAGTAATTTTAAACTTTTATTTGCAATTCTATTATTTTTAATCGTATTAGAAATAAAATTGAAATATTATTTTCAATTTAGTAATGTCATTGTGAAATTTTAGGTTAGAAATGAAAGGAATACTAACAGATTGCTTTCTTTTTAATTCATTCTCCTGGCTATGTAATGTAATTGAACTGGAGGATGTATTAATGACATTATGCACACTCATTTCATCCAATCTTCTCGATATTTTTAATATATGTGTTTGCATCTCACTGCATTCCTCCTGTAAATTTCATTTTTTTTTTCATTAAAAATTCAACAAGTTACCATTTCATCAATATTTCCTGTCACTGAATTTGATGGCTTTCTTCTTTCCTTTTTTTATGTTTTATTTTCGATTACTTCGATCGCACCAAACTTATTATATCAGTAACAATAAATCACCTAATAAATAAAAATGATATGATAAACTGTCGTATAGCGTAAATAAACAAATGGATGAATAAGGAAATGAGTGAGTAAACAAAGCATATTGCTGAGTAATTAAGCAAAAGATTAGAAGGCATATATTTGAACCAAATGGTGAATAAATCAATCAATACAATATGCTTATATCTTCAAATAAGTTTAATCGATAAATCAGCTATCATTAAATCAAATGGAATTCTCAGGTCAATAAAAACTATTATTTTTGTGATGATTAATTGATCGTATCACAAATACCCGAATTTGCATATTTCGTTGCTTGCAGCGCTCCGTAGCAAAGATCATCTCAACTTCACGATCTTTCATCGCTTCAAATATGTTCAATAATCGTTGATTTACTTTTAACCATTCAGTCATCTTTTTTTCCATATCCAAATTTTCCTCTTCAAGCATTCGTAGTTGATCTTCCTGAAATAATTACCAAATTACGGCAACATTTCAATATTTTTAAACTGGAAATGTATGGAACAAATGTATTTAATGCGATTAGAGGCATAATCTTTTTCTATTTCATACATCATAAATATTAGCCAGTAATTGGATAAATGAAAAATATAGTAAAACAAGCTAAGTCAATAAATTACTTTGTGAACTTTTTGAACGGTACCATTTTGCCATGTGCCAATTATTTTCCGCTTATGTGCAATAAGGCGATGTGTGTACTCAATTTGTTTCTCAATTATTTTCACCTGTTGAGCATTTTCAAATAATCGTTTATCAGCGAGAATTTTCTGTAATCTTCGAAAATGTATGCATTGAACAAAGTAACTGTTTACGTCAATAATTAAATGAATCTGAAACGATTGAACTGAAATTTTTACTTCGAATTTGTGCACGAATTCAACTTAAGAAATATTATTGAAAGCTTCAAGCAAACCATTAGAATGTAAGTAAGACGATATAATATGAATAAGGTTGTAATACAGATGAAAGCAAAAATGACCGGGAAATGATCAATTAAATATAGAATCTCAAATTTTTCCTAAACTTTCGTTTCATGAAAAGCAATACGTAAGTCGTTTCACATGAAAAAATATATCAATTTGCTAATTTATAGAAAATATTGCTAATTTTTTTTCTAAAAAGCATCACCCTCCTTGTTTGTCAATTTTTCAAATAGAATTTTAATTCGAAATATTTTTAAAAAGTAAACTATCAATTTATCTTTTTTTTGGAAAAAAGCACGCCAATTTCTCACTTGTCCATTTTCACTTAGCCATAATTGTGACCAATTTTCAGCTTCAAATGCCATTTCATCCTCAGATCGGATCGAATTTTTCGCAAAGATTGTTTTTTGCCTAATTTCTTCCACTAACTGAATTAATTGAAATTGACTGTAATTCAAATAGAACGCATATATTTGATAATTTTCCACACATATTTTTGATAACAAAAAATTAGAATACATTTGAATATTCTATTTATTCTATTTCATCGGTAGTTCTGTTTAAAATATAGAAAAATAGCATTGTAAAAAGTTTTAAAAATTAGAAAAGAATGACGACCTTATTTGACTGCCGAATTAAATTTTTGTTCTCCTTTTGAGCGATACAACGCGAATTTTTCAAATTTTTTAATTTTCCTTTCAACAATGTTGCTACTTTTTCCAGTTCGCATGCTTGAGCATGTAAATTTAAGATTTGAAATTATCAAAAAGCGAAAAGGCATAATATTATTACACATTTGAAAATATTCTATAGCTCTGTTTAAGATGTAGAAAAACACCATTGTAGAAAATTAAAAAAAAAATATTCCCGATATTTTTATGGAATTGGATGATTTGAGATTTTAATGAGGATTGTGACAGTAACATTAATGAAGTGTACCTTGATGCATGAAGCATAAATGCTTTCCATTTTTCAAATGACAACTACAACCGAGATTTTTGTTATAATGGTTCGAATCAATGCAATATGTTGAACATGAGCAATGACTTATTTGTGATTTACCAACCATTCGATTTAAAAAAATGGATTCTTCAGATATGGAATGATTTATTAGAAATATTAATTATTAGTGTCAGACCGTGAACTGCATGTTGCAGACGATCAAAAATTCATTATAGTTTAATTCTATCATTATAATTGCATTTTAGTGGTATATTTATGATTTCAAATAAAAACTGAGTAAGTTATCAAAAAAAAAGTAAACTACAAAAGAAACACATCTGTAATTAATTTGATGACAAAAATTTACCTTAAGAAATATCGAAGAAAAAATATTGATAAATTATAATATCAATGGAAAAAACGAATGATGATCGTAAAATGACGGAAGCAACCGCTTCACAACGTTCAATGATGTAATATTGAACAAGTGCAATATAAATTAATTCATTTACTTCAATTTACTAATGGAATCCTCTTGTAACTTCAAAAGTGCCACTTCGATAACAGCTCATATCATGCAGACCATTTAAGAAATCAACTTTCACTGCAAAAGTGTAGAGAGCAGTTTGTGAGTGATAATATATTTGACTCCTTTTTCCTTTCTTGTAATGTATGCGATGCTAATTTTTGTCAGCAAAAATAAAGAAATATAATCGTCCCATAGGAAACACAGTAAATGGTTAGGTGACTTGTGATAAGTTGTGAGCAATATGAGAAGGAAATATAAAATTTCTACATATTAACAAAGATGGTTTTGGCGAAGTGTTTTTACGCTCCATTTTATGTACTTTTGTGAATTCGCGTGAATTTAAGAATCACAAAACATACTATTTAAATGTTATATATTGCACACAAAGATGTACAGATTACTAGCTTATTACTATTTGTAAAGAAGTCATATTTACAAAGGAACAATACAGATGCAGAAAGGACATATATGAAGATAAAATGATCAAATCAAATCTCATAAATTCAAGCTAGAAAGTTATATAACAACATTAATGTCTAACAATATGGAAATGCACAATATGGAAATCCATCTTCAATATATTAAATAAACTTCTACCTTTATTTCTTAATCCATCCCTTTTTATCTACAATTGTTCTTGTAAGTTTAACTGGAAACACTTTCGGGAGTTTTACCAATCATGCTAATATGTTTGTGGTTTTGATTATATGTTTCGATGAATTTCTGTGAACCACCTGCTACTATCTCATTTCCATTCATCAGCTTTGCCGGCACAGAAACCGATAAAATTTCTGGCAACATCCATGGCTTCAACCATCCTACTGAAATTCATTCACTGAGACTTTTTTTACCATTTTTTTTACTTTCAAGAAATTTATCTCGAGGTTACCATTAATCATCTTAGTGAAATACCATAAAAAAAATAGTATTAAAGCATAGCAAAATAATCTCTTAAACATTTTAGTTAGCAAGCAAAGACTAAACTATCAAAAGGATCTCAAGCCTAAAAAAGCTGGGTCAAACAAAACGGTTGTGTAAACTCTATCGGATAGCCACAAATCTACAGCACTGTTACAATCATAAGACGTGATATATTGGGTGAAAGGTCAGTTCTTGCAATCTCATTATACATAATAATTGAGTGGGAGAGCAACAAACCAAGTGGACTTTGGCCTTTAAGGTAATGTACGCTTGCATGATAAAAAAGAACACCATCAATTTCGAAATCAAAATCTCGATGCATCATTTCCTCCATAAAATTGTGTTCGCAGCGGCAATATGGAAGACATATAAAACGGTACTGAAATAAATATTCATCATACATAAAGTATAGTGGATAAAAATCGATTCCAAAATAATTATAAAAAATATCTGAAATAAAAATTAAATTGAAAATTGAGAACTAACAGGCATTTTCTTCGAAACCTCTTTAAAATTTTCATTCTCTGAGATACGCGAGTTCATCATGAATAATCGGCAATCAAAATCCGAATCAGCAACCGTGAGGCTATTCCAAGCAATCATGTCCAGACAATAGAATGTTGGCGATTTTGTATCAAAAACACAATCCAAAAGAGTATACGTACCTAAGCGAAATTATATAACGATAGTATTACTCAAGAAGTTTTCACAATAATATATATTGTTGTAGATTATTTTTATATGATGAGATGATAGAATTTGATCCACTTCATATTTATCGACTCACCACGGCAAGGATGATTCCCACCAGGAAGATACGAATGAAATTGTGTAATGAGAAAACCAGATTTCGCATAAGCACTTGTTACTCCCTGCAACAATTCATTAAACATATTACATAAAATTTTGCACGGCAGAATTTTAAATAACAGTTTGTATAAAAAGACTGACTTTAAAAAATTATGAAGTAATTTATGCTACTTGAAGATTATTAAACAAATCATATGTCACATAAAAAAATAACTGATTGACTTCCGACAATCGCAAAATTATCCTTTAATATAATAATTAAAATGATAATGTAGATAGGGAATGCAACTGGCCGCAGTTGAAAAAATTTACTTTCATTATGGAAAGTAACGTGTAAATAACAAGACAATGAATTAGAAATTTCATAATTTACATGAAGAAACTAAAGCAGAATAAGTTTTTCCAAATAACTACATTCGGTGCAAACCACCACTTTATAATGGATAATTAAGATCATTACAAGACTTGGTTCTCAACTACGCTTTACTAGAATAAATTTTTATATTGAATGACATAATAACATACATTAGAAGCAACCACGAGACATCGTCTACCAACCGGACACGGTATACATATCCAATCTTTGGATAAGCTCTCCGGAATATCGACTAACCATTCACTAAGCATCAGTTCATCGGCATAACGATTGTAATTCCTTTTTCGATTTATCGTCTTAATGTTTTTGCTAGATATTGTTGTATCCATTTTTTCTTCCTCTTTATCATTCACATTTTCATCAGATTCATTCATTGCCAATTTTCGTACATGATTCGCATAATCAAAACGTGCTCTATAAATGAAAACGTGCCCGTCAGGAAATCAAAGATTCAAAAATATGAGCACACTTTTACCACATTCCAGATTACCATATCAATGAAAATAATATATTCTTTTCCATACAGAAGAAATGGTGCATTACTTTTGAAACTTTTATCCCCATGTCTAATCCATATTCCATTTTCTCTGTTCAATAAACATAAAATACATACTCTTTCTGGCGTCGAAGAAACTCTTGCCGTCGCCTCTCTTGACTTATTTCCGCCCGCCCGACATATTTGTACTGAGAAAATCGAGGATGTTCTCGCATAGTACTGTTTGGCGCCACACTTACTGAACTACCTGCCAGTAAATGTGTCAAATCGTCTAAATTGTCCATTTTCCTGGAAAACGAAATCTCTGGCCCTATCAAAAAGAGTAACCTTTTGGTCAAAGTGTATGTTTAAGCTAGGTTGAAGACATTTAGAAACATCCATTGCGTATCTCAATGAATTTTATTCAAGCAATCAATAATTCACAACCTATACCATCGGTTGACTGTGCTAAACAATCTTTTTCCTGCCAGATATTCTATTAATATTCATAATACAATTCAAAAAAAAAATGACAGAAAGTGATAGAATCGTTTATTAAAAACTTCTTAAATACAATTTAGCGATTTAACAACAACAACAACAACAACAATTGAAAAAAGTCAACAAAACTTTGAGTATAATACAGATTTAGCAAATCAGCAATTTGCTGCTACATTATAAGACATGTTGTATTTACCAATTTCTATTTAACAGTGTAAGGGAATCCACAAACTATTTGCTTACAAGCAAAGTGCAGACGACAAGCAATCACCAATAAAATCTAATTCGCAGTATTCTCGTCGTTCTCAATGACGCAATGTCGGCTCACGTCTCGAACAATACCATAACCAAGCATCATGAAATCATCCAATATGGCCCTTGTATTAACGAGTAACTTATTATTCGGTCCTTTTAACCGATGTAAACAACTGGATATCTGTAAAGAGATTATAGTAAGGCAGCAATTGGCTGTAAAAACCTCATGTGGAAGTGTTATGCAACCCAAGTACAACCTAGTAAAATTTCATGTTCAACATATTTCTGCACTTAATAACATTATTACACGTAAAACAACAAAATAGAAATGATTTTGGCAACCTTTCTTAAAAAATATAAGTAACATACGCTTGGATCTCGTGGTACTAATGCAGCTGGTTTCCACACCACACCGATCACATCACCTACGTATTTGTTGTAGAAAAAGAGAGCAACTGAATAGAAACATTGTCGTAAACGTTTTACATATTCCCTAACTGGATCATAGTCAATTACTGGTAATGGTCCGTTTATTAACTTGCCACGAACTACTTTTCTCCTGACCATATGTCGTCCTCTGATATGTATGTCAACATTGGAGAAAGTGGAAACATCGGTTGTGAACACTCCCTGCAACCAATTAATAAGATAATATCAATCAATCACTTCAGAAAGAAGGTGTGATATACACACATAACTCATGAAGATAGCAAATCCTAGTATAAAGCGAAGGAAGTCCAAAAATAAGGGAGAGTGAAATGATTGGTCAACTGTTTATCATTACAGCAGTGTCATTTAAAATACAAAGGATGAAAACCTTTAAATTTAACGGTATCGAATTACTGATATGTTGCTCAATTAATGTTGCTGAAGCTTTAGCAAGCGCAATTATTCGTTTTAAAATTAACGGTTGTGGTTCCTCTCTTGTCCACCTGAAAAGAAAAAAGAAAATCATGAACAAATAAACAGAACAGTATCATTAACCTCTACTGATAGAAAAATGACGGCAGAGAGAATGCACAAGACCAGAAATTAGCAATTATTACCTGAATGCTTTTTTTTATTAAAGTTATTACAAACATGTCGACTACAGAATTGACGTGTAATAAAACAAGAGAGGTATTTGAGACAACGACTTACCGACAACCACTTCTATCAACCGTCGTGCATATTACCATTACTGGCAACACTGGTCTCATTTTGATAAACTCGTTTTCCATTTCATCAATATCTTCCTCTTAAGAAATTTTAAAAATTTCACATTTTCCGAGAGATTTTTGAAAACAGACAATAAATATGTTCAAAATGAAACCCCTAAAACGAATAAATATACAACATACCCGTCCATTTGTCATCGAAATCAACAAGTAACGGTTTCATAAGCCAATTATGTGTAGAAAGCAATATAAGAAAGTGAAAAAAACCAACAAATGGTGTTCTGAAAAGATAAATTCAAAATCTTAAAAATTGGAATCTAATTATATTTATTTTATTAGTTAACAATATTGACATTTTGCTAATAATTATGAACCAAAAAAAGAGGGAAATATAAAGCATGAAGAATGTAACCTTGGTGGCTGAATTGATAATGGTTTAAGGAATACAGAAGCAACGATAGTCTCTAAAATCACTTCATTTAAATAGTCAGACAGTGCATGGGATGACAACCAATACATCGCCAAACGACACGTATCTGAGAATGCATCGAACTGTTGGCTTGCACT